TAAATGTGAGTGTTTAAATTGTTAAAAAGTATTTAATTGATGCATTAGGCTGAGTAATATATATTGTGTATAGTATTTTATAATATATTCTAATAACTTATTTTGTTTGATAAGTAAAATATAAAATAATTTGTAAATATGATTTATAAAAGTATTCTACTCAAGTATGCTTAATAATAATAACAATGATAATAATAATAGGATATTATTACCTAGAAGTAATTATATCTATCATAAAATGTAAACCCAAATATTTCAGGGGCGTTATTTGGGTGGAGGGCATAGAGTGTGCGGATGTACCCTTACCTTAAAAATAGTCCCAATTGGTCTGCAAAAATAATACACCAATTTTTTATATATCAATTCAATTTTTAAAATCATTGTATTATTATAGTTACATGGGTCAATGAACAAATATTTTGTTATCAATTAATTAAGTAAACAATAAATATATCATACTAAGCCATTGATATTCGAACCGGACACAAGATATTGATATTCATAACTGTTTTTATTACGTCTTTTTTGCCGCGCAGTTAACGGAAATCATTGATAACGGTAATGAACTAATAAATATAAAATTCAACGATTGCTACGACTCCGACGCTATGTTATTTTATATATTATTAAAATAGTAAATATTATTATAATTTATATTTACTAATTATATTGATTCATCGTCATCATCTATTAATGGTAATGTATTGTCGTTGTAGCCACTCCTCTCTGACGCCAAATGTTCAGTGAAACAAAAGACACACAGTTCATAAGTTCCAATATTGTTTCCTTGAGCGTCATTTTGGTTTCTATCTAGTTATTTTTCCTTTGAAGATGTTGCTTATAAAGTCATTGTGTCGGATGATGTGTCCGATTAACTCTATTTTCTTGATTCAATCACCTTCATCAGGTGTCATTCTTCTCATACTTCTTGTAGCACTTACGCATTTCTTTTCTTGTCTATCCATCTTGTCTTCGTCATTTTTCTCCATATCAATAACTTTAATGCCTCTAGTTTGCTTCTATCTTTCTTGTCAATTGTCCATGTTTCACTGCCTTATGAAAGCAAACTACAGACAAATGTTTTAACGTATCTTTTACGTGTGCCAATACTCAGATTTTTATTGGTGAGAAGCTGATTCTTGTTTTGAAATGCTTGCTATCCAATGCTATTATTTTTTTGATGTCTGGAGTTGATTTGTTATTGGAAGCTATGATACTTCCAAGGTAGCAGAATTCTCGGACTTCTAATCGTGTATTGTTTATTTGTACATTAAGGTTTAGATCTGAGTGAATTTTACTTATAAGCATTGTTTTGGTTTTCATTGAATTTATTTTCATTTTAAATTTATCAAGTGCATTAGATAGAATTTTTAGAATATTATTCATGTCATGTTCAGACTCTGCTAAGATAACAATGTCATCCGCAAAGCTAATACAGTGTATATGTTGACCATTTATTTTCATATCATTGGTCTTTGTTTTCATTATATCTATGCTCATTTCAATAAAATGATTGAATAGATAGGGCGACAAGGGTATCCTTGTCTCACTCCTCTCCTTATACTTGCTTCTTTTACCGATTCATTTACGATTATTTCTGTTGTGTACTCTTTATATAAGTTGAAGATAAGCCGTCTATCTTATGTTATAATTCAAATAACAAAAATTAATAAAATAAAAATAGAAATAATGATGATCAGGTCTTGGGTTTTTGTATATGGTGAAAATCTGATGTTGTGGTTCTATCGGGATCGTATGGTTCGACGGTTTAGAATGACAAAGACAAGTAGATATAAAAATAATAAACGCAGTACATGTGTTCGAGGTATAATAAACTTTTGTCTGGTTAGTTTCTAATGTCCTATCTAAGAGGCAACGAGACGGCAGAGCCAGTTCACGAATACTATATAACGTGATTATGTATAATTTCTTTAACCAACCAGTCAAAATTGACATTTTAAGATATTAATTTAATAAATTATCTATTGCTTTGTCATCTTTTACTCAAACTTATTAACTCAAAGTAATTGGGATAACATAAAATTACTTACTTCTTTTATTTTTGCAAATTGCTGTAAGATGATTTGATAAATATCTCGATATGTTTATATATGATTAAAAGTATTTAATTCGCACTTTGTCAAAAGATAAATAATTAAAACAAGATCTTTTCATATATAAATAAAACGCTTAAAAGTCAGCCGACAACAACACAGAGCTGTGACTGATAATTGTTTTTTTTATTCTTATTTCAATTCGGAGAAAGCAAACTCTCTCTCTTTCTCACTCCTTGAAGTCTGAAAGGATTTTAGTGCTTTTTATAGTAAAATGATAGTACCTCCAATCCAGGGATATTGTTGTCAGCGCTTTTAGTGTTCTTTTTAGTTTATTGTATTTAATTATACATTACATGATTATTATATTGAGATAGCATATTTAACAATTGATAAATTGACATATATATATATATATATATATATAATAAGAAATTGTGTTGAACATTGTATTTGTTATGACAGATAAATTATTTGTTTGTTTACAAGTTGTTTAAAATACAGATTATACATTTTTCATTGATAATTGTAAGGTGCGTAATGCAAAGCATTTAACATATTACGACACTTACCAATCAATTTGTTTTTCTCTTAATATCTTTAATAAGATTTTTCAATTCACTTAATCAATAGCCTACTCTAGATCTATGAATGTTGCTATAGTATTTCTATTCAGTGTAATTCTTCTCTCAAGGATCTGTCTCAGTGCTAATATCGCTTCTTTTATTCCTCACTCTTTCCTAAATCCAAACTAATCTTCAGATATATTTTGTTCTATGTATTCTCTCAATCTGTTCTTCATAATGTTTAGAAGTATTTTTGAAGCGTGAGAAAAGAGCGTTATAGTTCTATAGTTTCCACATTCTGTTGATTTGATTTTCTTCGGAACTGTTATAGTTCTATTTTTGACAAAAACCAGTGGTAGACTTCCACTATTATAGTTATCTTTAATATCATTGTCTTTTCTCCTATATTTTCAGTAGTTCAGCTTGAATATCGTCAATTCCTGTTGCTTTTTTGTCACTCAATTCTCCTAGAGACTTTTCGAATTCATTTATCAGTATTTCAGGTCCTTTTCTATCTTCATTTTCATCTATTTAATTTTTTATATATTCCTCTTCATTTTCGATATCCTCTTTTCTTTCATATACATTTTCCACTTCTTTAACTCTTTACCTTTTAATTTTTAAACAGAATTTTGCCATTTTTATCTTTAAATATGTTGTTGGATGTCTTGAGTTTATATTACAGTTTTTAATTTTATTAAAGGCTTTTCCTGTATTGTTGCTCAGTAGATCATGCTCTATTTCTTGTATGTTTTGATTTAATCAAAATTCTTTTTCTAGACGGCATTTTGTTGTTACTTTGTTTTTTATCTGTTTATATAAATTGTATTCTCTGTCCTTTAATTTGTTCCTTCTATCAATGAATTCAAGAATTTGACCAGTCATCTATGGGTTCTTTGGTTCTATTTTATTCTTACCAATTATTTTATTTACAACTGTAATTATGTTCATTTTCATATTATTCCAGACTTTTTCTCCAGTTTCAAGTTCATCTAAATTCCTTTTGAATTCTTCTGTTATATTTTGGTATTTTAGTTTTCCAATGCACCATTTCTTCTCTTTTGTTACTTTTGTTATTTTCTTAAATTTGAAGTTGCATTATGGCATCACAAGTTATGGTTCGTATCGATGTCATATCCTAGGTAAGCATAGCTAGATTTGATCTGATTTCTGAACTTAGTTTTTACGAGGATGAAATCTATTTGATACCGACTTCTATCTCTAGGCGCTTTCCATGTATATCATTCCTTAGCGGTACTTCAAAGTACGTATTTGTTACTATCAGTACCCGTTAACCACAGAATTATAACAATCTTCTCTCTCTTTTGTTTCTCTTCCCTAGTCCATATTTTCCAGAGAAGCTATTTCTTTCATAGCCTATTGAGGCGTTAAAATTGCTTATGATAAATACGTTTGAGATGCATTTTGTTAACTGCATTAGTTCTTCAATCTGTTCGTATGTCTTTTCAATTTCTTCATCCGTACTTCTAGATGTAGGGAAGTACACTTATAAATATAAATGTTTGTAGGCTTTGCTTCTATGTTCACTATAAGAAATCTGTCATTTAGGTGGTATGAGTTGAGTCCTTTGTCTTTTGACTTTCCTCGAAGTATCACTGCCACCCCGTTTCTACCTTTTTACTCATTTCTACTATTGCCACTATTGGGTTCGCCATACCTATAGTATATGTAAGCCATATACTCTCCTATGGGATTATGTTAATTGTGATTCACAATCTATGGAAAAATTAAAAGAAGAATATTTTACTTAGGTAAGTATTTCTATTTTTTATATGGCCTGATGAAATTTAAGAATGGCCTACTTGAAATCTTACACACACAAAAAAAAAATGAAATGAAGCCCCTGAAATATTTACGAGATGCCCCAATTTAATTAAAAAAAAAATATGGTTTTTATTTAAATAACAAAAGTTTATAATAGTTTAAGGCATTATAAATGGTAGATATTTTTCTCATAGAGTGGCTCAACAAAAAATCAAATGTGTGTGTCTAATTTTTGACTGTTCCAACAGATTCTATTGTTTATAATTCACTGAATATACAGAGTATAAGTTTTTAGTTTGGAGCATCTCGTAAATATTAGGGCCTACATTTTATGACCGTGAATACATAATAATATTTATGTATGTATTTTTGACACCTCGTTGGTGTTATATTGGATTACTGTGTTAAAATCACCAAACGCTGCGTTAGCTATCTTATAATAGTAATAAGATATTGAGATGTGAGGACTAAATTGTTATCGTATAAAATGATATAATAGAAATTAAATGAAAGTTTCATAATAACAGAAAGAATAGGACTAAAATATTGTGTGTACATTTTTTCATTTTACAAATGATATAAATATTTTTTTTAGACCTTAGGATTTGTGGAAGCTATTCAATATCCGTTTAATTATGCACCCAAATTATTTTCAAACACTAATGATGAAAAGTTTGACTTCATTGTAGTTGGTGCTGGAAGTGCAGGAGCAACTGTTGCTTCACGGTTAAGTGAAATTTCAGAATGGAACATATTATTATTGGAAGCTGGCGGTGATCCTCCTGAAATAAGTGAAATACCATATAAATTCACTAATACGTTAAGAACAAAATATGATTGGCAGTTTCATTCTGAACCAGAAAAACACATTTTTAAATCATTAGATCAAGAGACACTTACAATTAATAGAGGTAATATGCTTGGTGGAACATCTTCTATGAACGCAATGATGTACTTTAGAGGTACAAAAAAAAATTTTAATGGTTGGGAAAGTAATGGAAATACTGGATGGAGTTTTAATGACGTACTTCCCTATTTTAAGAAGTCCGAAAATTTTACCGACTCAAAAAGATTTAATTCAAACATACACTCCAAAGATGGCCTACTTACTGTAAGTCGTAATTTAATAATAGACAACGTTTATCCAATAATTGCTGAAGCAAATGAGCAATTAAATTTAAGTTCTATAGAGGATTTCAATCAAATAGAGCCAACAATTGGATATGGAAATATCTATACAACTACGCGTAAGGGTCTTCGATGTAGTACTTTAAAAGCTTTCCTCATTCCAGCTAGTAAACGAAAAAATCTTTTTGTATCAAAAAATACAGCAGTCACACGAGTGTTGATTGAAAATAATAAGGCCGTTGGAGTTGAATTTATTACACCAAATGGCGAGGTTAAATCAGTAAAATGTTCACATGAAGTTATTTTATCAGCTGGAGCAATAATGAGTCCACACATACTTATGTTATCTGGAATAGGACCAGCAGAACATTTGAAAAGCCTTGGAATTGATGTAGTAAAAGACTTGCAAGTAGGCTACAACTATCAAGATCATGTGTCATTCCCAGGCTTAGTGTTTACATACAATAAAGAAAAAACTATAGAAGAAAAACAAAGAGATGCTAATGATTACATAGAGAAGCTTTTAAACGCTACAACTAATGAAAAATCTACATTAGGTTTATTAGATTTAAATATATTCATAAAATCAAATTCAGAAATGGAATATCCAGATTTGCAAGTTTATCCTGCAAGATATATTTTTAACAGCTCAAAAAACACTTTGAATGGAAATAGCGAATTTCAGAATTTTTACGGATTTTCCTCTCAACTTTCAGAAATGTATGATGAATTGAACAAAAAAAGTGATCTGATTTTTATGGTACCTGTATTGCTTAATCCACTAAGTACTGGAAGAATAATGTTGCGTTCAAAGAATTTTTCAGATAAACCAAAAATAATAACCAATTTTTTATCATATGATAAAGAGTATGAAGTTATATTGAAAGGTATTGATTATGTTGTGCAACTATCAAAAACTGAACCATTTATCAAAGCTGGTATAAATTTTGATCAAACTAAAATACCAAATTGTAGAGATTACGATTGGGGAACTAGAGAATATTGGATATGTGCAATACAGAATGTCGCAGGTCATATATTTCACCCAGTTGGAGCTTGTAAGATGGGTCCACTAGATGATAAAACATCGGTAGTCGATCCTACTTTAAAAGTTATTGGAATTGAAAATTTAAGAGTGATAGACAGTTCAATTATACCTGTTATTGTTTCATTAAATACAAATGCAGTTACAATTATGATTGGGGAAAAAGGTTCGGATATGGTAAAAATATTCCATAACAAACCAATAAATTGAAAACAAAGACTAATTGTATATTCAATACTAAATTTTCTAAAAGAAACTTAAAACATTTTTTATAATTATAGAAAAGGCAAAAAGCTATTTCCTACTTTATTTATTTGTAATTCATAATACTTTGTCATTAAAATGATAATTGTAATTTTAAAATGTGACTAGTTGAAATATACATAAATATTAGGCTCTTTTATAAAAATTACAAGACAATGTAAATTTACATAACTTTATTCATTCTAATATATTTTCACTTTATATACATATACATATATATATTCCAAAAAAGGGATTCATTTTGTGATTAATAAATATTTAAATTATGATTTTTCAATAAAAGAAGTGTTTTTATCAGTATTACAAAATTGCACAATTTTATGCAGAGTTGACACGTATAAATAAATNGGTCGCGGGGTTCCGTGTATAGAGAACGACGCGGTCCGTGTCACAGAGTGTTTAGTAAGTCAGAAAACAGGTCAATTGTTACAAACAATAAGAACAATAGAAACCCATTTACTTATTTACCAATCACTAGGGGGTGGCCATAAGCTAAATTGGTATTTTTTTTTTAATAATATTTAAATGATTGCAATGTCTAATAATCAGTACACAGACAAATTAATTTTTTAAGTCGTGATTAAGTCTAAATTTTAGCATTAATAATAAATATAATTATCAATCAGTTAATTATAACAGCTAAAAATAATTGAAATGCGTTATGTAGGTGTTCAGAAGGATGACCATTAATTATGCACTTTTAAATTGCATAGTGCTATCCCTTAGAATTGTTTGAATACCCGAAAAAGAGGGTTAAAAATGATACACCCTTAGGGTAGTTTTTTTTGTCTATCTCAAAAACATTAACTTTTATGAATAAGTTTATAAAGACATTTTTGTAGATATACAATTCATATTAAAAAAAAGATGTCTAAATTTTTTTGAAATTTGTTATTGGCCTAAAAAATTGTATATGCAAATATCCTATATACATCTATTGTTTCATATTCAATAATATTTTTTCTAAAAATAATTTTGCTCTGATTTCAAATCAGCAATTAGAGTTTTTCTATCATCTTGAAAATGACGCCATGGTGACTGAAAAATACACTGTTGTAAAATGTAATGATTTTGTATTAAAGCCATCAGTTCTATTGAACCAAATAATTTTTATATAATAAAAACACTGTCACCTAGTAGATCTGATACCAATGCCTATAAACCTGTGTCCTACATATAGGTCACTGAGCTTAAATGGGTTAACCCATTATGTGAGATTATTATTAGTTAGTAAAAACTAATATTTTCCTATAAAAATCTGGATTAACATGAAATTCAATAACACATCAACAACCAAAACCATTGCTGAAATTAGGCCTGAATTATTTCTGAATATTAGTATATTATAAAATATAACTATAAGAATAAACTATATGGAATATAATTCTAAATATTTCAATTGTATACCTAAAAAATTTCTATTGCATCACTTCGAGGATCGTTTACATACAGAAGACAAGTCTTCAAGATCAAATTTTTTCTGTAAGTTATAGTATGTATCATTCGCTTTAATTAAATAAATTTTTAAAGCTTGGAGAATTTCAGGACCATTTTCAAAAGTTATGTTAAAAAGTTCTATGTTTATATGTTACATTTGCATATTAGAAATTTGAAAAAAAAACCAGCACAGGGGGGTCGCGGCACAGTGGTGATGTGGCATAGTTGGATCAAGTATAATGATATCTGACATTGATTAAAATCACTATAAAAAAAACACTCCAATGCAAATCTATGTCAGATAGTGTTTAATTTTAAAAAATTGGTGTATTATTCCAAATGCTACATGATCTGCTAGATTCTTATTAATATCCTGATTAAGATAAAGTATGTCGAATGAAAAAGGGATTATTAAAAAATATTATTTCTCATAAAAAAAATTTTTTGATCCATACACTTTTCAATAAGTTATAGCATAATAAAGTTAAAAATGTAAAAAAAAAAATCGAGAATTTTAATACAAAAATAGCATTTGGTAGCCATTTTCACTATGAAGACAAGTCCAGAGGTCAAATTTTTTTTTTTCATAATTAAGTACATTTCATTACCTTTAATTTAAGATATATATAAAAGTGTCGGACCTTCCGGAATACTTTAAAAAGTTAAGTTGAAAAAGTAAATTTTTTGTGAAAAAGTTGTCATTTTAAATCCGCTTTGTGGGCAGGTAAGGGGTCAGATTTATAAACAAATATACCAAATGATAGGTAAAGACATCAAACATCTATAAAAAAAAAATTATATTCATATGTTCATTTTTGAAAAAGTTACGGCAGTTTTTAGTAAAAAAAATTGAAAAAATTTCGAAAATTAGCGATTTTTAAATTTGTATTTTTTTTGGAGGTTTCCCTCATTTACGGGGAACAAGGGAAATTTTTTCAATTTTTAGAGTAATGTCTTCGACTAGATACAATTTGTGATCTTTTGACGTATCGTTGAAAGAAATCCGTTCGGCGAGAGTTGAGAAAAAGTGGTAACAGACACACAAAAAAAAAAAAAAACACATCATAGTAAAACCAATACCTTCTCAGTTTCGCATCGAAGCTAAAAAACACATCACAGGAAAATTAAAACCTTCTCAGCTTCGCATCGAAGCTAAAATATTCAGAATTATGTATTTTTATATATACAATTTTGTACAAACGAGATAACGTTTGTAACAACTCCTTTGCCCCAAAAAAATAGTTTTTCTTCTCTGGGTGCCAGTGTAACGTTACCCCAGCACTCGCATTTAAAAATATTAAATTTGAGCGTCCCAAAACTAGTAAGTATTACTTTTTTATGTACAATATTGTATTAACCAATTTAATGATTGTACAACCCCTGTTACTCTAAGAAAATAGTTTTTTACTACATTTAATACGGTTTACTATGAAGAGATATTAAAAACTTGACTAGATATCAAATAAGCACTTTGATTGAACTACTGATAAGAGATGGTCATCTGCTTAAACATTTCTACACAATGGGGGTGACAGAATCACTACTGTGTAAGAAGTGTAGGCAGAAGAGAAAGATTCATTTCACACTATGTGTGAATGTGCTACCCTGGTCACATTATTTCATTAAGAAAAATTTAACATTAAGAAAAAATATTGTTTCTTGAGTACTGTAATCTAAACATGAGTGCAGTAATATTTTTATCGAAATTATTTAAAAGATTTTAATAGATTTAACTGCATCGAGAAGTTTTCCAGATTATTTTAATATTCCAAAACAAGATTATGCAGTCTCAGTTTTATGGAAACCATTTAAATAATTTCCAATTTAAATACGGAATAATAGGAATACCAAACCAATCATATACCAACCATATATAATTGTTTTACTATAAGTAACAGGTAAAATATTGTCAAAAGCTTTAAAATACATTTATAAAAAAGTTGTTAATGTTTTTTATGTGTTTATACTACTACAGAATAATCTTATTTTCTAAATAGCACTATTAATGATTCAACGTGGTAAATTATTTAATTATATACATTTTTAATAGATTTAATTTAATTGAAGTCTAAAATTTACAAATACGTGTGCTGGGGTAACGTTACACCCAGAGAGGAAAACTATTTTCTTGGGGCAAAGTGGGTTGTACAAAAATTAATTTCGTTTGTACAAAATTGTACATAATACTGAATAATTTTTTTACAAATTTCTAATATGCGGGTGTCAGTATAACGCATCTATAATAATAATGACAAATTATTTTAATTAATTATTTATTTACAATTATAATTATGACATGATGCTGTTTGGGTACGAGACCTATATGCCCTTTAACAGTAATATAAAAGGCCAACAGCTAGATAGCTGGCTATATTACATTAAGAACTGAGAGTTTTTAATTAGTTTATATCCCCTAAGAGAAATAACAAAGAGTTACATTAATATCAGTAAAAAAACAAATATTATATTAATTGTCCATAGACAACATACATATTTAACTAGCTTATAAAATAGGAAATAATCTAATTAAGAAAATTACTAGTTGATAACAACTTTTGGATTATAGAAGTTATTAACAATTTAAAGCAATGACTGGAAGCGAGGATTATATGCTGCTATTTTTATTACTATGCTATTTTTATAGTCAATTATGGACTGTACTCTTCGTCCCACAAAAGTATAAAAATAACAACCAATTTACTGGTCCAAAAGTCGTTACCGACCAGTCATTTTCTTAATTAGTATATTTCCTACTTAACAAGCTAGTCAAATATTTATATAACTATTTAATAAAATAAAATTGACATTCTTTTAACTTATTCGGGATGATTTTAAAAATTAATTATTAGCTAGTAAATCAAGAGTTACATGTAACTAAAATAAATAAAAAATTGTTTTTCCAATATTATATTTATATCGCGAGTAATAGAATGGTTTATATATAATACATTTAAACAAATGAAATAATTAGCTATAATATTTCTAATTTTTAACATCAATTAATTGTTTTTGAATAATTTAGTGCTGTAATTATTACCGAAATATTATAAAAAAAGAAAAATAAAGTTTGATATTACTGACTCTCATTAATTAATTATCATTTCATAACTGAATGGACAATTTCGTTTACGATAATTAAATTTAGTTAATTACTTAAAAAATAAAAAATACGATTTATTTACAGTGTCTCACCGAAGAAAAAATATTAAAAATGTTTAACTCAAAAAGCAAACAAAAATATTAAAACATGGCATATATGTAATTCGGTAACAATTTTACCATTTTCAATACTTAATTTTACTTTTAGCATTGCTCTCGAAACACGTATACATGATTTTCTTTATTTATGTAGCTTATATAGTTAAATATTTTTTTTAAAACAATATTTTTAAATAAAAAATGCAATGTAATTACTTACATACTTATTAAATTCTTAATATAACTCCTTGGAGGATTCATTTTAATGTATTTTAATTCAAATAATTTTTATAAAAAAAAATCAATAATTAATTTATAAATATAATTTGATTTGAAAATTAATTTAAATATAACCATGATATTTTTGCATTTACACGTTTTGATTGCATGCGTGACCCTAAATTATATTTATACGTCTACACTGGTGCGTTTCATATCTGCTGATTAGTCGTTAAGTGATGTATTTGCAGTTGCGTCATTAGCTGGAGGGTGAGGGAATTGGGCATTTGCCCCAGTCTAAATTTTCAGTAAAAAACAGGGTCGATCGAGCTCTACTCATACTAAATCGAAACATACCGGGTCATTTAAATGTA